TGGCAATAACTTTAGTTCAATAAACTGCATGATATCGTATTCGTTACTATCAAATTCGATTATAAATATTTCTTCTAGTGTCTAGACTTTATATATAATTATTAACTCATATCAAGTATCGAAAGTGTAATAATCAGAAGGAGAATCAATGACCTTTTCTTGTGCGTAATTGTACTGTGCATACGATAAGTGATAAAATTTATCGATATAAAAGGCTCGTTTCGAATAGCATTATAGATCAGTTGCAACTTATTTAACGCTTTGATTTGAACTATGAATACAATACGAGAAAAGAGAAAACGCGAAAATACACGTTTACGAGTGAAACGTTATCGCGATCGCAAAAATCAAAAGTGTAGTGCAATTAGTGATGATAGCATTTACAGTAAAACTTTAAATATACTCGGCTGTAAAAAATTTTGAGTGTTGCGTGCCGTATCTTATCTGAAGATATGGCAATAACTTCCAATAATGATGCAAAATTTTGTTTATTGAAATTTGTGGAAATTTCTAAATTGTTATACGGACTTAAAAGTCATGTTTTAAACATGCATTCATTAATCCATCTACTGAATGATGTAATGTATTTACAATCTTCAATAAGTGATTTTAGTGCATTTCAATTTGAAAGCGCGTTAGGCCAAATAAAAATGTCTTCGATCTGGTAGTCGTCCACTGTCACAACTATGCCGCAGTTTACACGAGATGTTTGCAGTGGACAGAAATACTGATATTAGTTCAAATAGATCTAATATTGAAGTTCTACGTAAAAAAAATTAATGCAAACACTGAAAAAATAATCATACAACGAGTGCGATATAGAAAAATTATTTTGACGTGCAATGAACCAAATAACTCTGTTTTACTTAGCGATGGGACAATAATGTTAATTCGAGATATGTTTGTGGCATCCAATAATGATATTAATAATATTAATGTTACAGCTATAGAATTAAAACAAGTGAAACCTATGTTATCATTTCCATGCGAATCCTATACCGTGATTATGTGGAAAGTTCGAAGAAGTACATCTATCAAAATATTTTCAATTAATTTAATTAATAAAAAATGGTAACATTTGTTTTAACTGATGATTCTGGAGAAAGATTATATACAATGTTACTTTGTTAGATATGTAATATTATTATTGAAAATTTGAAATTTAATAACTAATAAAAATTAAGTAATAAAAAATCATTTTGTTAAAATTACATTAATTTTGTTATTTGATATTGATTATGAAAATTTAATTAATTATGAAAAAATTGATTTAAATGGAAATTTTATATATATATATATATATATATATATATACAGTAGAATCCGATTAGTATGACGCCGGATATATTGACAACCGCTTAATATGACGTAATCGCACTAGGAATTTGGTTTCCATATAAAATTCCTTAAAAAAACAGCTGTCTAGTCGGATATATTAACATCGCTTACATTGACATGTCGCTTATAATGACCCATTTTTGCAAGAAAATATGTCCAATTATAATGACCGACATGATTTTACATGATGTGGCCAAGTCTACGAAAGCAATTGCTATGTCTTTTGTGCACAATAGCACCAGGGACTGTTTTTACAATAAAATTATGTAAAGAAATCAATCAAAAATTACTGATAACTTACATTAAAAAAACACATTTGTATGTTTATGGGTAGGGTGGACTAATTATTAATGCTCCACCACGGATATCTCATAAACAAATAAAAGTAGATTTTTTTTAACAATTATATTTGATAGTAGAGGGCGAAAAATGTATAAATTTATAACCAGCCATCACCTTTATTCTTATGACTTTGCTATCAGAAGATAAGCAGCACATGACTGCGATAAAAAGGACTAGCTGGACCTTAACTTTGGCAAAGGTGTAAGCAATAAAATAGTAAAGTTTGAAAAAAGCAATTTTACAAGAGATTAATTGAATAAATTGTTATTCCGGCTCTTCTGATGAATATTTCTGACCAATAGCAGATCAATGTAATATACTGTGTAGTCTTTGTAACAAATGTACCCACAGAATTAATATTTTGCATTGGTTCAATAATGTAGCGTAAAATGCCTTTAAAATTTAATAGAAGAAATTGCATCTGTTCGCCCCCTGGTTGTTCCACTTTACCCCGTATGTGAAGTAAAATGGGTCAGATACCAAACGTTTAAAAAATAGTAAAAAATATAATATTTATATAATTAGGAATTATGTACGTATGTATGTAAGTTTTTCTGAACATAGTGTGATAGATGCTTCTTTGATGTATGTTATGTGTTGTTCATTGGGTTTAGACAGTATAATTACCGTAAGTCAAATTGGACCTTTGTGCCCCGACCTACCCTATGTCAATTTTATTTAATATTAAATTTTAATGTGTCATTTTTATTTTTAATTAAAACGTTTGTATAGGCTTTTCTTTTAAAATACTGAACCACGTAACATATTTGCATATTAAAAAGTTTTTCTTCAGTACGCTTTTAATGACGACCGGTTAGTATGACGAGATTTCAGCGTCCCTTCGGTGTCATACTAAGCGGATTCTACTGTATATATATCTTAAACTATAAAAAAAATATTCGACATAATATTTGACAAAATATTTGTTGCCTGTTCGTATTATATGAGCTGTTGTGCCAATTTGCAGAATCTGATAAATTCAGAATAAATAAAAGACTTACGTACACATTACATGAAATATATTTATAAACAATCAGACGGAATTTACAATAAAATGCAAGTGTTTTCTATAATGGTTGAATTGAGACTGATGATGAATTGCTCCTTGCTTCTCTGTGGCGGAAACAGTGTTGCCAAAGGAGTACCGCAGTGTTACCAATCCTTTAGTGTTACCACATGTTGTTCTATAATAAGGGATGAATCCGAGAGATGGCATAACAGAGCAATCATAAATGTATATTGTTCACAATCTGCTGCGCGCCGGCAACTATAAAGTTCACGTGTGACATAGCGCCGATCTTTCTTACTCTTTTTCACTCTATTTCATTCGATGTTAATGTTTAGCAGTATTTAAAATATGTTAAAATGAAAAGAAAAACTTTCATTCTCCAGGAGAATGATTTATAATCTATTGATAATAAGTTATTATCAATTCGTTATTATTAATAACGAATGTATACGATGTATGTGTGCTGGACGAATTTTCTAAGAAGGTCCTATGTCTTCATATGCAAGTAAAAGTAAAAGTTTTATCGATCTTATTATTTCTACTTATTACATTCGATATGATTATTATTATTATTATTATTATATATATATATATATATATATATATATTAACAAAGTCTAATAATCGGGCATAACATCAATAAAAAACATGAATTTCTTTCAAAAATTTATTTTAAATCCATACGTTTCGGCTATAATCCTAGCCTTCATTCAGTGGAAAAATTAGTAGATCTTAGTGTTAATTTGGAAAATTTTAAAAATCCATGGTATTAGGATATGGTAATGCACTACACTATGTATTATAAACATTAACTTGGAATTACACAATATTTTCACAAAATACTGATTTGAAAAAATCACAAATGGATAGTGTGTTATTCGTAGACTGGTTAAAGATGTAAAGAGGTAAAGATGTAAAGGGGTAAAGAGGTTTTTTATTGATGTTATGCCCGATTATTAGACTTTGTTAATACATATGTCAACATCAAATTCAGAATCATACAATATATATATATATATATATATATATATATATATATTATAAATTTTTTATTGTAAAAATTGTTTTTAGTGGCTTATAAAGTGTTTGTGTATAATCAATCATATGTTGGTATTTTTTTTTCTTAATTCCCATTTAGAAAAAAATTCTTGCTATAATTTTAAAATTTTGTTATATAATCGATTCAATAATTATTTTCATTGTTAATAAATTTTATGTAATTTCCTATCTTTCATATTTTTATTAATTTTATTTATAAAAAAACACTTTTTGGTTTTGTATTACCATTGGATTTTTGTTCAAAGTTGTATAGAGCTTTCGTAAGTTCGTATATTATATTTATAATTCATTGATAATAATGAATACGATAATTATGCAGATTATGAAAAGAACGAATCATCCGAACGAAATTTCTAGGAAAAATTCTACATGTCGTATACGCATTTCACGTATATATATATATATATATATATATATATATATATATATTGTTGGGCGCCGATTAGCTTTTCTCTTCATCAACCAATTTCGTTAGATGTTATTGTAATATCATAATAAGTTCAAATTAAACACAATATTCTTCATGTATACTTTTATTTTTTCCGTTCATTAATACTCTGAGATGTCGTCATCTATACGAAAATTACACAACTGAGCAACTTAAAATTCCATTTCGGCTTTATATAGCCTTTCATTTAATAATCAGGGACTTCCCTTGGTTTTGAATATGATCAGTAGTTTCCTTATATGTATGAGTGCGAATTATGTGATTCCCCGATCGAAATTCATAGGAATTACTGCGTCGTATGCTGAGGATCACGTACGCATTTGGAAAAAGTTCATCGGTCCTATTTTGATTATAATACTTTTGTTACTCGATATGAGTTTAATACAATGTAACGAGTTCTTGGGATGAATACAATGTTGAGAACTGAGAATCGGAAACCTTGGGTCGCAACAATATATATATATATATATATATATATATATATATATAAGTATATATTGAATGTAGAGAAAAAGATCATCATCGGGTCTTTGTATATGATATTATATAAACCATTGATTGATAATATTGAATACGATCGATGCACCAATATGTATGTAAGAACTTCATCTTCTATAAAAGAGGACCATTGTTAGTTTTCAGTTCATGACTGAATGGGTGCGTTCCACTAAGCGCTCACAACGCTCAAAATACCCATTAAGCCGTTCCACATGACGACCGCGGTCGCTGTGATCGCGGCGAAAACGTCACTACTGACGTCATAACTTTCGCTCACGTCAAGCTCACAACGACCCATCTAAAAAGGTGGGTCGAAGTGGACGTTGTTGAGAAAATTTAGGCGCAATATTTGAAATTGTTTTTGAAATATGATATTTTGAACTCGAAGATGGCGACGGAAAAAATTATCTTATACGATGCTGATCGAGATATTGCTGTGGAAGCGAATGTTTCTCCGGCTGAAGCTAAACGTGCGAGGGCAGGTAAATATAATTACACTAAATTTATGTAATAAAATTAATTTTAGTCTATATTCAACAGCCATTATACATTTCTCTCATTTAACAATGATGACCTAACCTCATATATAATTAATGCCCATATTAATTGAAAAATTATTCCTTCTATGAAAAATTTATTTTGTTTGTAGACCAATATTTTGCTACAGAACTTTTAAGAACTTTAGTAAATCAAGATCCTCATAAGGCATCTACATCTACTTCTCATGTAGAACATGAGGATGCTGAATTCTACAATGAAGAATTTCTTGAAAGCAATGACGAAGAAGTACTTGGTAGTGAAGACGCAGGTGAACTTAACTCTGAAACTCAAGAATCTGAAGGTATATTAAAATATAAATTCTGTTATCATCCTATTCTTAACATTTATTATATGAGGATGTCAGTTACATATGTGGTTTTTGTGTTTCTTATTAATAAATACATTTTTTTCTATATGCAGGTGGAGCTTCTTCATACAGGTGGTCTTCACCCGCTGTATTACTCTTATTAGAGACTTACAGATCCATGGAACAAATACTCAATAGTGGGAAAATGTCCCATAAACAAGTCTGGAAAAAAATATCCGAGAAGTTGACAAAAAATGGTCATAATGTCACCGGACCGCAATGCTATTCTAAACTGCGAAGTCTGAAGAAAACCTATAAGTCAACTAAGGATCATAATAACAAATCGGGAAATGATCGAAAGACTTGGAAGTTTTACGAAGTTTGTACAAATTTCTCAATATTCTGCTTAATTTTTCGATACAGTTAATTTTTCTATAATTATAAATAAATTAGTTTCTAATTATTGTACTATACTAGTTATAACTATTGTAATATATCTTGTAATTTTTGTAGATAATGGATGAAATATTTGGCAAAAAGGCATGGTGCGATCCAGTTGCCGTTGCATCTTCTACTGGTCTTTCTTCCAAAAAAACAGAAAGTAACGATAGTGCGGTGGGATCTGATAGCGGATGTTCATCAAGTGAGTAATTATATCAGATAATTGAATTCATGAATATATTCATGTACAAATCGAATTATTTTTCAGAATCGAATAAGCCATCAGTAACAACTTTATTGGGAAAAAGATTAAAACAGAAAGAAGAACATGAGGAAAATAGAAAGAAAAGACACCGAGAGAGAATGGAAATGGATGAAAAATTCCTCAAAGTTTTAGAAAAACTAGCTGAAAAATAACTATAAAAAAAGCAATATTAAATAAAGAAATAGGTTTTTAAGTATAAGAATAATTTTAATAATTATTCGTTTGTAAAGCACTTTCTAATGTTTCGCATTATAAGTCGTGCAATTACTTTTATGTAACTTTTATATTTGAGATATAACTATGATTAAAAAAAATAAATTATATTATATATTATTAAATTTAGTTTAATTAAAAAAGAAATTTATTGAAGTTCTCAAAATTATTATATGACATTTTAATAATATATACAATTTTCAAATATACATAGAATTATTGATTTCATTCAAATTTTCGAAGATGAAGTCCTTACGTGATTTCTATAATTTATGGTCCTGCAAGGCTATCTTAATAACCACTCATCAGAGTGGCCATGAATCATTATTAGTTTTACAAGGAATTCATTATAAAATCTCTTTTAATAACTCCTGCAGTTCGCCTTACTTCACGCGGATAATTTCCATTATTTTCTTGATTATTTTCAGGTATAGTGATCACAAGTAAATCATCTTCTCGTAAAATGCAGATATTATTATATTAACTTGTTTCTGGAGCATTATTACGATGCATCAACAAATATCCAACTGCCGTAAAAGACATTTCGATTAGATTTGAACTTAAATTGGTTAAAGACTTCACTGAAATGAAACCCAAAAATTAAAATGTATATTTTATTTATTTTTATTTAAATCAAGTTAGCTTATTATTATAAGAATTATTTGTCAAGGCTAACCTGATTGTAACCTAACCTCTTCAAGCTTTGACTTTCATTCCTTTCATTTTTCAAACCACGCCATTTGTAATGTTTATATGAACGCTCAAAACGCTTCATAATCCATTCCACTTGAGTTGATGATACCAACGATCAGAAGCAAGTGGAATGATATAAACCGCGGTCGTGAGCGTGATCGTTGTGAGCGCTTAGTGGAACGCACCCAATGTGAAGCTAAGCGATCGTTGTGTGTCTAATAGGAAGTGCGAAAATTACGAAATATTATTACGATATATTATTATTTGTTTTAAAAGAACGTCGTGTAATTATCGTTTAATAATGAGTGGAAAAGTAGTGTATTGTGTTGTTTTATTTCTCAATGATACAAGTGAAAATAAGAGTATCGATGTAGTGCTGGTAGATTGGTTAATATATAATGAAGGAGAAGATAAATTCGAATGCCCATTTTTAAGTAATTATGAGCTATCGGGAGAAAATTTACTTCTTCTTCAAGATTTTCCCTTCTTCATGAGGTGGATGTACGAGGTTATGCGCGTAAGTCAACTACTTATTGTGTATTTTGTTATACATATGTATATATATATATATATATATATATATATATATATTACCTATTATAACACATTATATATTTATATATATATATATATATATATATATATATATATATATATATTGATTTGAGTTGTAATTTCAGATACATATCAAATTGCCTTGGAAAAGTTAAAAATATTGCAGCAGAACAGAAGGCAAAATGTTTTAAAAAAACAAGCCGCTTGAAAGGGCGTTTTGTGAATCAGAGTAACGTCGATCAGCAATTGTCGGAATGTAACATAAATTTAGGCAATAAGTCGCGCAATGTTTCAAGGAAGTGTATTCTTGTTAGCAATTTATCGTGTATTTTTCTTTTTATTATTATCGAATAATCTAATTTTAATTTTTAATTTTTATTTTTTTAGTGTTTTATTTTTAATTAAAAATAAACTATTTTAGAATAGTTTATTTATGTAAATTGTGAAAACTTTTGTGTCTCTTTTTAAAGTAATTTTTTTCCGTGTGAATTTTTTTCCGTCATTTTTAACTGATACAATTTTCTTATAATAAATTAATTATTAAAATATTCTTTATAATTATAAAAATTTTGCCTTATTATAACTACTGGTTTATAATCTTTTCTGACAATTAATTTCATTACAAATTATGTTTTTTGTTTATATATTTTTATACATCTTGCCACCATAAGCAGCATCTTTTTAAGAATTATTTTATTTCATTTACGGATGTAAACAAATTCAATTCTTTAGAATCTTTTGTTGGAGATTGTTATCACAAATTATCGCAGCAAATCGGAACAATGCAAGGGGAGATAATAAAATTATAAGGATTAGTGGCTAATATGGGAACTAACCCTGTTGTCACATTTGATGAAGAACACGGTCTAGTTATACCATTCAAAAATTTGGAAGACATTCAATCATTTAATGAAAATCTGAAAAAGAATGAGTATGAGTATGTATTATTCACACAGTACACATGGATGATTTTATTATTTATGGTTATACATTTTGTTACAGGTATAATGTCAACTGAATCAATTAAAAATCCGCGGTGGAGCCCTATTAAACAGCAAACATTTAATCAAGCCCTCGGGAAGGTTATAAACTATTCCCGTGATTGGAAGAATGGGAGTAATCTTAGGCGTAACAATAAAAATGAAAAAGTCCAAGAAGATAAAAGTTAAAAAAATATTACCTAATCAACATTTGTTATTTATTATTATTATATATTAAAATATTGTTGTAGAAAGAATTAATAAAAAAAATTAGCATATGCATTTTTTTAATGGGCCATGCCAATTATGTTTTTCAGGGCCACATCAAATATATTTTTCAGGGCCATATCAAATATACTTTTCAGGACCATATCACATATTATTTTAAGGCCATATGCTTATTTTAAATTAAAGGCCAAGTTCGATATTTTTATAGGGGCCATTTCATATTTTCGATTAGGGCCCGGAACAGTGCCCAACATAGACCTTATCCGGCAAGGCGTTACATATCGCATAGGGGCCAAGTACGGTTGCCGCACTGGGACCCTACTTAATTTAGAGCAGCCCTGATCCGCGCCATACTTCAATTTCCAGTCGGGTACAAACATACAAAATACACCTAGATGAAGACGTGACGTGTCCAGATAGAGATAGAACCAGTACGCAGATAAGGACGCGTCATGCGAGAGCAGGTACGCAACACAGGCTTCAAGACAAACTTCTTTCACCCTACGCGCTAGAGTCGAAGATGCAACACAACACAAGATATAGTTCCGTGGGAGCGAGATAGAACGACTGCCGCCCTGGAGGAGAGGGATGAAGTTAGAATAAGACGGCACTATGATGTAAGAAGACGGTGTTGGATGAGATTCAGATCTTCCCGCTACTACTAGAGGCCGAAGCAAACAGATTAGTGTGCGAATATTTTGTATTTAACCTATTCTTGAACCCTGTAATTAATAAATATAAGAAACAGTTGCATTACTGCTTTTGTTTTAATTATATTTTCACCGACCAAACATCATGAGGTCACAAATTGGCGCCCAATTTTGTGGCAAGAAAAGGATTGGATCAAAATATACAGCACAAATCTGGCACCCAGCAAGAAACTGACCGTCACAACAGATATGGCCATCAACCTCAGAAAGAAGCTCAGGTAGTTTCGCAAACTGCAAGGCAAGCTTCGATGGAATGCCGAATGCAGAGAAAGTTGCTGACTCCCGCTACTACTAATAGACGTCGCAGCCACCTGGTGGCAAGGTATAAAAAGCGAGGTAAGCACGTTTACAGAAGCAATAGCGCTAATAAAATCCTCATTTGCACCTCAGAGACCAGTCTACGCAATCTATTTAGAGATTTTAAACTTACGACAGGACCGTAGCACGCCGACAGATTTATTCGTATATAAGAAGAGAGCTGTATTTGCCGAGATTCCTCCGCCTGGAATCTCAATAAGCAGCCAATTAGACATGATATACGGGCTGCTACGATTAAATATTCGTGAGCGTATTCCGCGAACAACGGTTTCATCGTTCGAAGAACTTCTAGCGAGAGCACGAGAGATCGAAGCCAAATTAAACGAGAACAAGAAATGTGTCCCCAAAGAGGAAACGCAGGAAGTATGCACGTTCTGCAAACGAACCGGACACATTGAAGAAGGGTCCGGACCGGACTAAAACCAGGACACAGGCTGCTTCTATACAAGAAGATAAAGCAAAATACTCATGCTATGGTTGCGGTAAGCCAGGCGTGATCCGCAGTAAATGCACAAATTGCACAACGAGCCCTTGCGAGAAAGCGGAGATACAAGCGGCAAGTTTCTTCTTTGTGACTTTAGAAGGGGGCAAGAAACAAAACAGAGTGGGCTGTACATTCTGTAAGCAAAGGAGCCATACGACAGAGGGATGTCGACACCTCAAAGCCCGACAAAACAGAAGAAACGCAAACCCTCCAGTAAATTTACAAGCTCCGGTAAATATTCCGAAACACATGCTAGACCCGCTGTACCCATCACGGTGCAAGGCGAAAAGGGATACGGTTTCGTGGACACTGGCGCCGACCATAGCCTGGCATGGTTATTATTTGTATGAGGTTTTAAGAAAAACTGGCCATGATTTTCAACCGCAAAAATAAAGATGACCATGGCAGACGGAGAAGCAAAACCAAGAAATGTGGTAGTAACGACCACCATACTGCACATAATGGGAAGACCGATAGCCACGGAGTTTGTTGCAATACCGACAGCAAGATCAAATTGCACGTTACTAGGCATGGATTTTCTTAGAGAAGCAGGTTTAGTGCTCAATCTAAATGACGTGGCAATTCAATGACAACACGGCAACGTACGAATTTGTGAGTGACCAAGAAATAAAGGAAGCCATAGAGAGAATTTTTAGCGGCATTTTGAATGTTCGCGCGTTACGTTTGCGTAACGAAGAATAACTCTATGGTCGTCTAGTTCTCCCACTTTTGAGCGCGGAAATTGTTACACTTAGCTTGTAAATGCTTAGGATTAATTCCTTTTTAAAGCTGCCGTCGAAGGATAAACATCTCACTGCAAATATAACTATAATATCCTGACGAGTAAATAGATTATTGATAAATATACGTGCGTAATAATTATATATGTGTATTACTTTCAGTTGGAAACATTAAGGCATAATTAATGTTTCTAACATTTCAGAAGTGTGAATGAGCTACCCCACATGGTG